TTAGCTAGCCCTGCTTAAAAAGAAGGAAAATAAAATAAAAATGAGCAAGATAAAACCAAAAAAACCAGAAGAAATAAATAAAAGAATGATCAGAATCTATTATTTATTGTTATTAGTGAATGTAGTAACTTCTGGACCCATATTCCCAGAACAAGGCTGGTTAATCTTTTTTTTTAATAGTTCTGGGGGTACACCTGAATGGTTGGGTGTCTTTCTCTAATGTCATCAGACTGATCCTCCATTTTGGGTGCTTCATCCCAATTGTTAGTCACTCAGTTCCATTTAAACAATTAGCATTATTTATAATTTACAAGGGAATATTTACTTTGAAATATAACAATAGCAAAAATACAAATATTTTTCCTCAACACCTAGGGGCACTTATACCCTTATACCACCCCAGTCCCTGGGGAGAGTGGGTTTATGCTTAACATAGTTTCTATATAGCATTTACAGAACCTAGTTCATGTTCAAATTCAGCGTTGCTGCCAGATGAGTCTTCATTTCAGTTACTGTTGGGCTGGGTCCTGAAGCTCTTCTGGACATTGATGCTGGCTGGCTGCAAAACTTGATATGGCTCATGATCCTGACCTTTGGAAACTCACAAAGTTGTAGCCTTCAGTCCCTCCACTTAAAATGAAAGAACAAACTCCAAGGCAGTCAAAGAATCGAGGTCCATATACCCAGGGCCACTTGTAAGCCTTGAAAAGGAGAAGTCCTGAGACTCTCACCATTCTAGTCCATCTTATGTATTGGGGCTGAAGTTCAAATCTTATGACCTAAATCCATTTTAGTGGCTTCCTATTGCCTCTAGGATAAAACATAAACTTCTCTGTTTAGCTTTTAAAGACTGATGCAACCTAGCCCTACTTAGCTTTCTAAACTCATTGGATATTCCTCCCCCACCCAAACTGGTCTTCTTGCCTTTACACTAGCTCTTCTACCCATGCCTGGAATTCCTTACTTCCATGTCTCTATCTCAATGATTCCCTCTATTCCCATAAGTCTCAGGCACCATCTTCTGTAAGACTTTCTTCATTTCCTCACTCCTAGGGCTCTTCCTCCCAAATTACCATGTATTTAACTACTTGGCATATGATAGTATTTATTAACTTTATATTAATGCTGCCTATATTTCTGTACTTGTCTCATTCATTAGAATATAAACTGCTTTCAAGTAGAGATTATTTCATTCTTCTTATATCCCTAGCCCCTAGCAACATGCCTGGTCATTAGTGTTAATAAATAATAAAAAAAGTAATAAAATAAATAAAAAATAATAAAAAGTGCTTAATATATGTGTGTTGATTAATTGACTATGCAAGTTATTCTCAAAAATTGAGAAAGAAAAAATTCTTCCAAACTGCTTTCATAAAGAAAGAAAAAAAGGTTGATAACTTAAACCAGGGAAAAATAAAGCAAAGAAATAGAACTAAAGACTAATATCATTTGTGAATTTGGCTCAGCAATTTTAAATAAAGTACCAGCCAAAAAAAACCCCCTGTAGCAATCTATCAAAAAATTATTCACTATGATCAAGTTGGATTTATACCAGATATGGAAGAATGGTTCAGCTTTAGAAAAGCCATTAATCATGTGAAAAACAAACAAACAAAAAACCCCAGATAACATGACTATATCAGTCTTTAGAGAAAATGGCTTTGACAAAATACAATCCTCATTTATGCTTAACAAATAAAACCTACAAAGCACAAACATAGACATAGTCAACAAGCATTTATTAAGCACCTACTATATTGAAGGCACTGTGCTAAGCACTGGAAATGGCAAGAAAAACAAAGAATAGTACCTGCTTTGAAGGAGATCACAAACTAATGAGGGAGACAGTATGGGAAGAATTATGTACATACAAGCTATTCAAAGGATAAATGGAAGATAATCACTAGAAGCGGCTAGCACTAAGAGGGATTAGCAAAGGCTTCTCATAGAAGATGGGATTTTTTTTTAACTGGGATATGAAGGAATCCAGGGAAGTCAGGAAGTAGAAATGAGGAGGGAGAGAATTCCAGGCCTGGGGCTAGCCAGTGAAAATGACTGGAGTTGGGAGATTGTAGTGTCTTGTGGAAAGAATAACAAGGAAGCCAATTATCCCTGGATTCACAGAGGTCATGAGGAGGAGTAAGGTGCAAGAAGGCCTCTGAATGCCCAAACCAAGGATTTTTATCTTTGCTTCTGATGGTGACAGAGAGCCATTAAAGTTTATTGAATAGGGATTGGTGGTGGTGGTACAGAGAGATAACATAGTCAGATCTGTGCTTTAGGAAGTTTAATTTGACAGCTGAATAGAGGATGAACTGGATTAGGGATAGTCTTGAGGCCGGGAGACCAATTACCAAGCTATAGAAGTAGTCCAGGCTTGGGGTAATGAGAGCCTTCAATAAGCTGTGGCTGTAGTTGTGTCAGAGGGGACAAATGGGTGTATACAGGAGATATTATGAAGGTGAAATTGATAGGCCTTGCCAACAGATTGGATTTGAGGGGTAAGAGAATGAGTGGTTGGTAATTACATCTAAGTTGAGAGCCTGAGACTATGGTAGTTCTGAACAGCAATAGGGAAATCAAAAAGTAGGGAGGCTTTGGGGAGAAAGAAAATGGGTTTTGTTTTGGAAATGTCAAGTTTAAGGTATCCATGGGGCATTCAGTTCTAGATGTTCATTAGACTGTTGGAGACATAAGTCTGGAGATTAGGAAAGAGGTCAGGGTTGGATAAGTAAATATAAAAGTAGTCATTATAGATGGAACCCATGGAAACTGAGATCACCAAGTAAAATAGTATAGAGGGAGAAGAGGGCCCAGCACAGAGCAACAGGGGACACTTCCTTTGGTGAACATAACCTGGATAAAAATCCAGTAGAGACTGAGAAAGAATGGTCAGAAAAGTAGGAGCACAACTAGAGCAGAGTAGTATCTAGTGTCAAGGAAACCCAGAGGGAAGATGATGATCTATAGCGTCAAAGACTGCAAAGAGATCAAGAAGGAGAAGGATTGGAAAAAACTCATTAGATTTGGTAAATAAGAATTGCCAGTAACTTTGCAGTGGACAGTTTTGGTTTAATGATGAAGTCAAAAGACAGATTGTAAAGAATTAAGAGAGCAGTGGAGGCTTTGATTATAAATAACCTGCAGGTACAATGGATAGAGCTCTGGGCTTGAAATCCAGAAGACTCATCTTCCCAAGTTCAAATCCTGACTCAGACACTTGCTATGTGACCCTGGGCAAGTCACTTCATCCTGTTTGTCTCAGTTCCTTATCTATAAATGGGCTGGAGAAGGAAATAGTAAAATGCTTCAGTATCTTTATCAAGAAAACCCCAAATGGGGGTCACAAAGAGCCAGACGTGACAGAAATGACTAAACAATAACCCACTTGAAGCATTTGACCAAAAAAAAAAAAGGAGGAGAAATATGGGAAGATAACAAGAGGGGATGATGAGGATGAGCTTTTTGAGAAAGGGAAGCCGTGGGCATGTACAGGTATTTCTTTCACATTGTAGGAGTTAGGGGCCTGGCACCCTCATGATCTGGAAAATCTGTGTAAAATTTTCTGGCCCTCCCTTTGTACCAGAGAAGTCTGAATTATTAGAGTATTAAAAGATAAAATATGTTGATATTATGCAATATTATATATTTTCCTTATTTCTGAGTTTCTAAACTTTTTCTGTGTCATCTGCTGGCCTTTGCATGTCATTTTCAGCCTCTGCAATTCCTCCCTGCCCTGCCCTGCAAATTCCCATTTAATTTCTTACGCTGACTCAAAATATATCGAAACCATGATGTGGAAAGTCACAATATGGAAGGGATAACTGTACATAACCAGTAGGAAGCAATCAATAGACATGAAGAAAGAGAAATGACAGTGGGGATCATACAGGGTTTATCTGTTAAAGAATATGGTATAGAAAGGAGCCATTTATTCATGTAGAGGAGTTAGTCTTGGAAAGGAGAACATTCATCTTTTTGTGTGAGACAGAGTTGAAGGAAGAGATAGTTGCAGAGGTAATATGGGTAATATGAAATGAAGAGGAGGTGAGAAGAAGGAGCTCCTGGTAGAGGGCTTTAATAAGAAGATATTTAAAATGATTTGATAAAAATATTTCTCTACAACTAAAAATTAGTATTATCAAAAGATGTATTTTCTGATAAATTCAGTACATTCTGATAAAATAAGCATCATGGTAGAGCCACTACTAGCTAGTAAAAATCTGGGCACAGGGAGGCCTTCTTTATTTGTGACTTTTTGTGGCTAGATGGTTTTCCTCCTATATTTCTTCCTGGGCGGGTGAGGTCAGTGAGTGAGTACACTTCATATTTATTCTTGTAGTTCTCTACTCCCTCACTTCTCCCAATGGCTGGTCAGAGATGAGCTACAAGAATAGTGTTAGAGGTCAAGCAGAAATGTTAGGAGCCCTTGGAGATATGATATCTGCTGATATCATTTTGCAACTGTGAATACACTTCACCTAACATCATTAATTGACTCCTTGAAAACACTCTATCAACAAAGTGATGTTATAGGGGACAGTTCTATAGACAGTGCAGTGACTATTGTGACTGGGCTATCATCCAAATGACGTCACATTTCAGATTGAAAACTTTATGATAGAGTTTGATTGTAATGTATTAATGATGTTACTGCAAAATGATGTTGGTCTGAGCAATTTTAAGTAGAGTATACCTGTATTACTTTTCTCCAAATGTCTCTTTTTGCTAATTATTGGTATGCTTTGGCTATAGCTCTAATGTTGATAACTTACATATTTTTTAACAATCCTGAATATTTTGAATGTTCTGTTTCTCCCCCTTAATTAAGCCAAGGCGAGAAATATGACTAAGAGAGTAAATTTGGGTAGATGATTAGTGAAATGAGATAAAGTACTTGACTGGTGAGGGCCAGTGATCTTCATAATTAAGATGATGCAGCAAGGAGACTCTTTTAACTTCTTTTTTGTTTGTTTGTTTGTTTGTCTTTATCTTTTCAGGGAGTCTAAGAGTCGAAGATGAAGCCCAGGACAGAGTGCTACTCTCCAAAGTTCTGGTTAGTGCTGGCTGTCTTAGCAGTGTCAGGCAGCAAGGCCCGTGCTCAGAAGAGTCACCCCAGCATTGGTATTGCTGTCATCCTAGTGGGCACTTCAGACGAGGTGGCTATCAAGGATGCCCACGAGAAAGATGATTTCCACCACCTCTCTGTGGTACCTCGTGTGGAGCTGGTAGCCATGAATGAGACTGACCCCAAGAGCATTATCACTCGTATCTGTGATCTCATGTCAGACCGCAAGATCCAGGGTGTGGTATTTGCTGATGACACAGACCAGGAAGCCATCGCTCAGATCCTAGATTTCATTTCAGCCCAGACTCTCACTCCCATCCTGGGCATCCATGGAGGCTCATCTATGATAATGGCAGACAAGGTAAAACTGGGTTTCTGATGCCAAGAGATACCACATTAATTCTTACTGAAAGCAAATTTATTAAGTGCTAAAGGTTATAATTGCGCCTTGAGGAGGAGTAGGCCAAGGAGTAGGCCAAACTAATGGTTTGGATAATGAGTCTAACTAATTCAACTACATCTTGAATTGATGAGAAATGCTGTATATTAGATCATGAGAGATTATTTTTGAATATGAGTTATGCCAAGGCACAAAGATGGGAAAAGTACCTGGAAATGATTTGGGTGTTCTAAGGCATAAAACTTTAAAAATGTAGCTTTATTAATGGCTTTTGTTCTTATATCATGTCCATATATCCTTTTCCTATCCCTGCCTCCATTATTGACCCCCTCACCTTATAACAATGACAATAGCAACACAGCAACGAAAAGGTTTAGAAACAGCTTAAGGATATTTGTTTTGTGGAAATGAACTCTAGCCACACTTATAAGAACCCAGACTTTCAAGTGCCTTAGGAAGCTGAGAAATTCTACATTATGCTTGGATGGTTGGTCAGAGATTTCACCCAGGGATGTGTCTTGTGCAGGACACCTAATATTCTGGAACAGTTGTATGTTATTTGAAGCATCACAAAAGATGAGGAGTTCTCATTATTTCCCTGTTGCTCCTAGAACCTAATGTCATCATGTAGGCAGAATATATTGAGTGAGGAGCAATGAAGAAAGAAATCACAAGGTAATTTATCACAGTGCTTAGTTGCCAGGTAGGTATACCAAGTGGCCCTAAGAGCCTCTGCTTGACTCATTTCAAGGAAATTAGGATACCAAATAATGAGTGCTTTTTTTTTGGTATTTTCTTTTCTTTGTTTTTTCAGCCAAAAACAAGATTCATTAAAGATCTGCCATATTAACCAGACTCTTAAGAAATCTGAGCATCTGTGGGCTATTGGCTAGATTGTAAAAATCTGAGCAGTGGCTAGATTATAAGAATCAGAGCCTTTTTTTTTTGCTGTTTTCAAGACGGACAACATTGTGCATACTTAATATTCTTAGGTTGCTATTTGTGTTCAGGGTCTTCCAGAAACAAACTCTAATTGCCACGAAAGATAGACTATGTTTTCTTTTTGTTCTCTTGTTATGGCAGACAAGCAACATCCAGTGGGTGGTGCCTCCAAATATTGGTGTTCTCTAGTCAGGGGAGTTTGGGGTTATTTGATCTGATCAGAGAGCTTCTTTGTTACCTGCATTTATGTGAGATCCACCAAATTCTGTTGTCTTCTTTAATTTTCTACCTGTGGTTTCTTTGTCCTTGTAACTTAATCTGAGTGGATGAATTTGGATCATTCACTGTAGTAATTGGAATGTGGCTGCTGGGATTTGTGGACTTTAAAAATAAAGAAGAGACATAGTCAGTCTCCCTCTTATCCATTTCAGTTTCTCTATTTGGTGGCAAATACTTCTGCAAATGAATGATTGTGTGGTAAACTAAGTGTTCACACTAGGGATGAGAAAAGGAAATTTACCCATAAGACTTACTGTCCAAATGAGACACCATCCTCTCCCCATCTTATTTTTATAACAAAAATCAAACCAACACTACCATTCTTAGAAAGAACTTGTCAGTCAATTACCCTTTGACTCCACTAACCTTTTGTAGTGATGGATAATACCTGATTGCTAGTCAAGTTTCCATTGTTCTAAGAAATGCCGGAGTCCCTTTTGCTCTGATTCTGACTAACGACAGAATCATTGGAATTAGTTCAGAGGCATACATACCTCATCCTCACACCTTTGATTTATAGAAAGACATTTAGCTGAAGCCTTTATAAATATACAGCCTGGGATCAGGTCCAGCAAACCAGATTCTTCTGGTACTAAAGCTAGTGGTTGATGGCTCTTAATGCTCCTGTGAATTCCTAACTCCAACCAGTTTTACCCTTGAGCAGAATATCCTATAAAAACCTTTTTTAAAAACTTTCAGTCTTCAAAAAAGTAACTTTTATATATATATATATATATATATATATATATATATATATATATATATATATATATATACATGTCTATATATGTATATATATATACACACACACACATATATGTATATGTATATATGTATGTGTATATATATGCATGTGTGTGTGTGTGTGTGTGTGTGTGTGTATAAAACGATGTCCATGGTATTGATAGGGTTATGCAAAAAGTTGTGGCTTCCCTGTGTAGGAGAGAGCTTCTAAAAACAAAATACATTATTATGCTGAAATATGTCCAAAGTAAGGTATGGGTAGGGATTTGAAACCATACCCTTGGAAGACATAAGTATTTAGCCTGGATAGAATAGAAAACTTGGTAATGGTGGAAAAACTCTTTACATAACAGGGTTTAAACTTGTTTTCTTTAGAGTAGGTGGAGAGATCAGAAGAAGTAAGGACAAAGGGTGGAAATTACAGATTTCAGCTCTTTAAGGGAATATTTCCTAACAATAGAGCTATTCAGACATAAAAAGGATTGCCTTTGGAGGCAGTGAATCCACCGTCTCACTAGATATTTTCAGAGGGGATCAAGAAGATTCTGTTAGGGATGCTATAGGAAGCATTCCCTATCAGGCACAGGGTGGATGAGATTAGTGGTGTCAAACTCAAATAGAAAAGATCCCTGAAGGCACATATTGACATATAAAGTCACAAGTTAACATTATGTTATGTTGTATTTTTATTTCTTTTTTAAAGACATTACCCTATTACACTTCAAACCGATTTCAGGCAGCACTCAGGAATTTTCTTGGCAGTTTAAGGCCAGAGGGTAGTGCCTTCAACACCTCTGGATTAGATGTCTTTTGAGATTCTTTTCAATTCTGAGATTCTCTTACTTAACAGCTCACTTTTGTTGTGTATGATTTATTCATGGTCATACATCCAGTAAGTAGTGCAAGTCAGTATTTAAACCTGTTTCCTGACTCCATGAATTCCTCTTTTCCATTCCACTGCCTGATTTAACTACAGACTGAATAATCAATCCCTCAACAATAGGAAGCAGTTCATACAGCAGTGTTCAAATGGAAAAGAAACCCACGAGAGAGAGCCACCTCTCTAGCAAAATCTTCTGAGAGTTACTGCAACCAACATTTTGAAGTCAGCCTCAGGCTTAAATAACTTTTCACAGTGTCAAATAGCAATCTTCCCCTTATTCTCTGAGAAATAAGCCCCTGGGCAAGTTTAAAAACCAACAAACAATCATACAAAACCCTCAAAAACAGAACTCAAGTTTTTCTTTAAAAAAGAAAAGAAATGCACCACAGCTTGTGGAAGCCATTTTAAGAATAAGGTGGGAAAATTAAAAACTTTAAAAAACCCACAAATGTTAAAAAAAATTGTGCTGACATGTAATTGGGGAAAAATATATTAGAGAGTGTCAACCTAAAAGTTTGGTTAAAGAAGGCAAGCAAGTTAGGTGATACATGATTATATAGTTTATTCCCTTTTAGCTAGTGAATCATGTATACATGGGAGCCAGAATGTGATTCTGACTCAGAGGTTAAATAAAATGAGAAAGGTTTTATACAGTTTAGAGTGATCAGACTCAGGATGTCTGTTTTACAAAAAAAAAAAAAGGTATAGCCTCTGTATGTTTCTTAACATACAGCATAAAAAAAGGAAGTTTCTTAATTGAACAGATTGTAAATACAATAGAAGAACGTCAAAGTATCAATCAAAATTATAGATCCAGGATATGTGTTTCCTCTACATAACATATGTTCATAGGATACAAAGATAAGGAAAAGTCTCATTAATCAAGAGAGTGTCTGGTCCCAGACATCCTGGGCTTAGTGATAACGAACAGGAAGAATACCGGTCAGTTCCATCTGGTCCTGGAATTTGCTGACACAGGAAGGGGTGTTTTTAGTTCACTCAGAGAGAAAAGATTAATTTAGGGTTTTGGCTCTTATTGGAGCTCAATTGATCTTAAATGATTATCAAGAGAAAAAAGAGTAAGGGATAAAGGGTGTGGACATTTTGGCTTCCTCCAGGAATTAGGTAGGAGAGTATGTTTCTTATTCTAATTCTAGTTTTTAATATGAACAGTAGCAGAGTATTTGTTAAAGGCCAGTATGCATAATGGCATGGAAGTCCACATGCCCTTTGATCCAAACAGACATTATTCCTGCCTTCAAGGGACTTACAATCTAAGACAATATGACTTAGGGGACTTGTGAGGAAAGTCCTTTAATTGGAATGAGTCACCCAAGTGGCAAATAAATATATGGCCACTTTGTGTCACCTGAAGGTTCTCCTGTACCCAAAATAAGCAGCTATTGGATGTATTGAACAGACAGATTTACTCAATGTTTTGGACAAATAAATAGGTTAATCAGACACATAAATGTATTAACATCACATCTGTGTAAAGGGGTGAGTGTGTAGTGTGGGGTGCAGGTAGAAAGTTGTAAGAGTGCATGTATAAAAGAGAGACTTTGCTGGTTCATCATTGAAAACTCTGTAAAATGGAATTTCGCAGTTGTAAGGGACCCCAGCAGCCATCCAATTCAACCTATACTTGAAAAAGAATCTTTGCTACAAGAAATCCAATAAATGGTCATCTGGCCTTTCTCTGAAAACCTTCAGTGACAGAGCGAACCCACTATCTCCTGAGGCACCTGTTTGATTTTTCCATAGCTTTAATTGTAAGCGAGCTTTCTTACAAAAAGGTTTAAAGTTGCCCCCTTTTGATTTCTACCCTTTGCTCATTGTTCCATTCTCTGGGGCCAAACAAAACAAGTCTTATGATTTTAGGTGATGCTTGATTAAAAAAAAATTGAAAGCTTTCTTTTTTGAGCACAGTGCATAGAGTGCTGGGCCTAGAGTCTGGAAGAGTTAAGTTCAAATCTGACCTCAGACACTAGCTTTGTGATCCTGGGCAACTCTGCCTCAGTTTCTTCATCTGTAAAATGGGGATAGCACCTACCTCCCAGGGTTGTTGTGAGGACCTAATGAGTCAATAATTGTAAAGTGCTTAGCACAGTAC